CTTCTTTGTACTTTCAATGCACTTTTCTACCCATATATTCTCCCAAATCTATCGAACTACGTACTACCATTATTCAAAATAATATATAATACTTTTTAGCAAAGAAATGAATATAGTTAATAAAATGTGTAGGAGTCAAAAGCTTACTATTTGCAACAAATAATAAAGAATACAGAAATCTAGAAAAGCATTAACCATTCGCTTGACATCCTCTCGATAACGACCAATGGTATTCCTCAAGAAGAAACTACTCCAAAATGGTATTTTTTTTTAATTTATAAATTATTTATTAAATCTTTCTAAAAACTAAGCTAACAATAAGCGGATCAAATCTTAAAACTAAATTTATTTTGCTTTGGAAAAAACTATTGAGATATTGAATTAGTTATAATAAGATAAGATTGAAAATTAAAATTAAAATTAGGATGATCTTCCTACTTTAAGAATTGCCGACGGCTACATCGAGCAGCTTCTTCTATTACTGTTGGTACGCTCAAATCTCTATGAGGGTTAGCATTTTTCATAAACCACGGTGCACCTGCTATCATTCCTAGAGTTTTAGATTGCAGCCTTTGCAGTTTTTCAATATTTGATGACTTCGCTGTTCTCCACAGTTGAACTCCGTATAGGTTTTATTATAGGTTTTTTATAGTAGAATTTTGTATTCAAGTGGTTTGTTTTATTGACAATGAATTTTATATAAAACAATACCTCGCAAAAATTTATAGTTAATATCCAATAACTATCCAATACTCGTATTACAAGTCATTATGAATCTATTCATCACATAAATTTCCAAATTACAGTCATTATCTATCATTCAGCTGGTTTAAAACTTAAGTTCGACGTTTAAAATGCAAATGAAATGGGTCAGCAGTTTTTCAATTGTGTTGATATTTTGTTCAGCACCGAAGCAGGAAGTTAACCGGAACTTGCACACTTACAACTTCCGTCGAGCACTTGTTGATACACAAATTTCTCCATTGAATATTCTACATACTTGAGAACTTCAAATATTATTTATCACCGCTTTATGGTTAAAGCATTACACTTCCCGCACTTACTAACCGAATACAGTTTTTCACGCAAAAAAGTGTGGTTTTGTGAAACTCAGGCTATATTCGATTTCATAACGAATTCGTATAAAACATAAGCAAATGTGAACCCCCACAAGAAGATGAAAGCCTTTTCGAACATTCATTCATAGAAATTTTGGTAACATATAAATTATAGACAAAGGCTTGCGTGACATTTGTCATAAATTTATTTTTCTTTGTTTTAAAGTATCCCTTTCAGCTTTATTGAGGCAATAAAACTAATAAAAACAACACTTAAATGTGTTAAGCAAATAAAAGTAATTTAATCAATTATATACAGCAAAGAGTTCTGACACAGGAGACATACACAATGATTAATTTGCACATTAATTATATGAAAAAATATCCTTGAAACTTTCCAGTATATACAATTGGAACAAATAAACAAAAATTAACCAAAAATGTATTCAAATATTGTGAACTCCAAACTACGAGTAATTAATTTAAAAACTTCAAAAAACTGTAATAAGTTTTATAGGTTTGAAGTGGATGTCAATTTATTAAAGAAATGTTTCTTTTTCATCACAATTCTTATTAGTAAGAAGTAAAAAGGAAGGCTTAGTGGGAATTCCAATGGGCCTAGTGAGAAGCTGTTCATTTTCTCAATAATGTAAACCACACAAACAGGTTAAACTAAGTGGAAATTCTAATGGCTCAGTAAGAAGATATTAATCTTTTCAATATCAGGTAGTTTGCAAGAAGGTTAAACAGATTTCGGGCTTAAAACTACCAAACAGAGTTTCATTTTAATTTCGTGATATTTTTATTTTTTATATAAGTTAAAATTTAACATCAGTTATGATAGAAGTGTCTATTATATTTAATAGAAACTAGAATATTTGGTAGACAGATTTTGAAAAGTACTGAACTACAACAACAATAATTAAATATAATAATTCCTAGAATTTCTAGAACACTGATGATGGATATTTGGCAATACTCAAAACAGTTACATGGTCAGCCAAAAATTCAATTAACTACGATAATATGAAAAAAATTTTGTTATTGGAGTTCACTACTTTTCGAAACCTTCATAACATTTTTATTTAAATATTTGAATTAGAACAAAAGAAATTCTCAATGGAGATTAAGTATTATTTGATATTTGATATTATGTTAAATCTGTTCTGTTTACACGTAAATTTTTTCGGATAATTGTACAGTAGAGTAGAGTTTAAATAAAAAGTCTACATAAAATGAAGCCCTTAGTAGGAACACATTTTATAATGTCTATAAATGTTTCAATACAACCCACCGGAGATATACTATTACGGAGGAGATCAAATTTATATTGAAATTCAATGATAGAACTTTCTTTCCCTACCAACATTATAAAAAATACATTATTATAAAAAAAAATTTTTATAAAGCTATCAGTTTAAATAAACAGCAAAAAGTACATTTTTTAAATTGACTCCGAAATAAAAACATTGGACTTAGTAGTCCAATACTAACAAAAAAGCATTTCCAAAATGTTTTTTTTTATATTGGGTTCAAAAATGATTGATATCTCATACAACAGATATTATTAATATATTTTCGATAGCTATACAACATATAGTTCATTATACTTTTAGTAAAAATAATTAAACAATAATCCTGGAAATACTATAGTCCACACAACCTTTAAAAATATTAGCCCCAATTATGGAAACCACAACGTGTTTATATTCATCAATGAAAATCAATTTTAATTAAATATTATTTATGTGTTATTAAACATACATCTACATAGTATAAAAAAAACATTTATATATGTTCCAAAATAAAAAATAAAATAAAAGTAGTTTACCTAAAGTTTGAAATTATCATCTAATTATTGCCAATATTAGTTCCATACTCATTATTTTTGTAGAGTAACCATGATTTAGTAACATGTTATTAGCCAGGGATGTTATCATATAGTAAACAATTTCTTCCAAAATTTTCCGTATAAAATGGAATTTCACAATACTCTTTGAACTTCAGTCATATATACAGTACGAATATTCCATACTCCAAATTTATAGCTCCACCTTATAATTTTTGAGGCCCAAATTTAGAGAGATTCCGATAGGTTCTAGCACCGACAAAAAGAAGTGCCCAATTCAAATACTATATTTAATTAAAATTAAATCTGTTTACTAATTGAAAATACCAAATTTTGATTGTCTAATTTTAATCCTGCCACACTTAAAGTTTTTTTTAATTATCCATTACAGACGTACATCGTGGCATGCTATCACTGCCAGTTGATAATACCAAACGCCCCCGAATCACTGGTTTCCTAGTCTTTCCACTGAAAATACGGCGTTCTCTATCGCATATTCCACCTGCGAGTACCAAATCCAACGTCTTTCTAGCTGGAGCAATTTCTTCCATTTGCACGACATGATCAAGCCTTCGAAATCGCCGAATTTTTATGCGCTTAACTAAGTTAATGTCGCGGTATAGCTCATATAGCATCGTTCAATCTAATTCAAAACACGTTGCCAACGTATAAGGGACCATAGATCCTTTGAAAAATATTTCTCTCGAATGTTTCTAACGCTTCTCTTCACTAATGGTAATGGTTTCTGCACCATACAGCAGGTCAGACATGAAAAAAGATTTTAAGAGTGTGCTTTTTGTTTGTCAAGAGAGGGATTTTTTCTCCATTACCTACTTAGCCCGAATTGACATCTTTTGGCAAGAATGATTCTTTGTTGAATCTCTAAGCTGATGTCATTTTTAGTGTTTATAATGGTTCTCAAATAAACGAAGTCTTTCACAACTTCGATTTATAGTTGTCAACAATGACGTGTGTTTCAAGACGCTCAGAAGATTTGTTTGTTGACAGAAAGTACTTTTTAGCACTAAGAGTCAGTCAATAAATATTATATCATCAACATCCCAATAACTTTACCAACTGCTTATTATGTCCTTAGCCACTTCGTACAACTTTTTGGTTGTTGTCTACTTAGCAACTGCCATTAAACTCCGAAGTGTGATAAAACAGCTGCAAACAGCTCTCTGAATAGTCGAAATGTTGATCTTCTTGGACAACTGCGAGCAAACGTTCACGAAACAAATTTTTCATTGGTAAAAGTTTTTCTAAAATAAACCGAATACGTTTCTTTAATGTATTTAAAGTTTTAGCTATGACTTATAGCTTCCCTTTAGGGGTTTTCAATACAATTTTGTAGAACTTTTTGATGTTTTCTGTTGAAAGCGCCTTATTAAGGCAAGTAGAAAGTGATTCATCATAAGTGTCGGTATGGCTACGGTTAAAGTCTGAAAACCAACTTTCGATGGTTCCTCTCAATGTAGCAGTGTTCAGATAACACTTATGAACCCAAACTTTGTCTTGGTCTGCATTTTTTTCCAATAAAATGCAATTATAAATTAAAGCACGGAATCCATTATTTTAAAAATAACAAAAATTACATGACTAAATTGGACTAAAGCTCCATATATGATTGTTTGACAGTGAACACTTTCTAGAAAAGCATGTTTTTTATTTTGATACCGTTTTTTTAATATATAACCTTGAGATTTTTAAACAGTATATTATCACAATTTAATAAAAAAAATTTTTTTTGTATACAATTTATTCTTTTATTTGTGACCTAAAATATTGTATAATAATTTATTAGCGGGCTAATTGGTCGTTTAAATAGAAATAAAAAACTATAATTTATTATTTATATATTTAAAAATAATTTATATGTTATTAAAATAGTTTTCCGATATTTTGACTATCTTCCCTATATTTTCCTAAAGATGACTATCGAAGATAATCGAAATATCGGAAAAATATTTTAATAAAATGACCAATTAGCCCGCTTATAAATTATTATATATACCACTTATATATAAACGGTTTTTGTTTATATATTAAACAAATTTGTGAAACATTTCGAATTATACAAAAAAAAAACTTACCTTTGGGTGGTGAGGAATGGTAGTATAATCCTTGAAATCTTCGTCGGCGCTTTGGTGGCATTGTATTAAATAAAAATGACTTGTTTTGTTATGAAATATAGATTTAAATTAGTATAAAAATGTTGAGTTAAGTGTTTAAGTCATCACTTTTCATAATCGAATGAAAATTTTTGCTCGCCTCAAATTGATTTTACCATTTTATATAATTCTTGACTATAATTTGAAAAAAGTGTGGGAGTGCACAATTGTAATTTGTCATTTTTATATATGTTGTATTTTAAATTTAAATAATATATTTTGGCTTTCGAAGTTATTAATGCACTTTTTGTATATGTATTAAGTTAGTTTTATTTATTATTAAAAGCCTCAACCTCAAGTATGCACAATGTCCTGCCAGTATCTCGGGGTAGACTAAAATGCTATGTAAAAAATTCCAAGTAATGTGCGCTTTAGCTTTTCGTATTTGTCAAATCGAAAAAAAATATAAAAAACGAATAAAAAACGGAAAGCAATGGACAATGTCCACCTGCCACGACCCCCACTCTGGGACCAGTTAACAGCAAAAAGCGCAATTTGATAGCATGTCACAAACTATTTAGTATAATGGCAGTCGGGAATGGAATTTATGGACATATATAGTTAACATTAAATGTTATCAATTTTATTTACGAAAAAATTAGCTGCTTTTTACTGTTTTTATTTCGTAGGCAATTGCATGCAAAACAATGCACTTGTCTTTATTGAAGTGCGATTAAAGGACAATTTGGTTTAGGAAAGTCCAACATGGGTAATTGCATTCTGCATTATTACTTTGATTTCTGTTTACAAGCCAATAAAAGTAGCAATTTTTTAACATATAATGAAATACATAATTCATTGCCAATACATTCATTTAACATGAATTAATTAGCGAAAAAACCTGGTTAACATGAAATCTAAAACTGTTAATATTTAAAAATATATCTGGCATTTGTTAAATGAATATTAAGTGAATTTTCAATAAAATGTATAAAATTTTAATAACATTGGCACGGTAGGTTATCTACTCAGAGAATTCTAAGAAACAAACGACAGGTCTTATATACTCTTTATATACTCATATACTCATATGCATTACAAATTATATGCAATTTTGCAGCTGAGTTTAATTTCATGAATTTATATACTTATATACTTGGAAACAATTTTGAATGAAATAAAAATCGATTTTTACACCACAAAGTTTGTAAACAAATGGGTGTCTATCAGACCAGCAGATCGATACTGACTCAATTGAGTTCCTATTGCTGTTAAAATGACAATTAAATAGAAGGAATAATTAAATGATAGTGACAAATTTATTAAATCAACACGTTTCCAACCGAAGGCAAAGGCGAGTTGGAAATTTGATGAAGTAAACGGCCAAGTAATTCTTGTTTTGTATCAATAAAAAAAGGGTCAGTTACATTTTCGTAAACAATAATTTTCCTTTAGATTGACAACGAGCTGTTTTTCCCATGTTTGTGCAAAAATTGAACTAATTTTTTAATTGCAATGGTGGTCTCCGGCTACAACCACGTATCTAAATTGCGTGAGAAGTAGCAATTGTACTCAATTATAAGTACAAAGAATTCAAGTAAAATTTTAGACCAATCAAAAACGTGATTATTAAATTTAAAATTAATTAGTAACACTATGACTAACTCTGACCTAAATATATAGGTCAAATATATGACCGATTCAATTTCCAATAGTTTTTTGTTAGCCATTCTAAGAATTTTAAAATGAAGGTATATGAATATCCTCCCATTTATGTGAATATTATGTGTGTTAGGTGAAATTATTTATTTTTTTATTCATTTTATATAGGTTAAAACGTTCATCAGTCGGTATTTTTTCTAGAACAATATGTATGTCACATATGTAACTGAGTCGCGGTGCATAATATGCCCACCTAATGATAATACGACGAAAGAACAACAATATGTCTAGGAATTTGCTGGAATAACAATTACGATGAAGACTTTTAATAAAAAAAGTTTTATAATGTCACTAAAAAATATTTAAATAGCTTAAAATAACATAATTTTATAAATTTTAAATTCATAAATAAAAATTTCACACTTATTTGTATACAACTTTTAAAAATGATACTTTAATCGTTGACAATTTTAACTTTTTTTAACCATTCTTGTGATTTTTAATGTATTAATTTACCATACACTAAATAAAGTTTAGTACTTTCATGCCTGTAACTAATTTAAATATTGAAAAATGTTTAGTCATATCGTTCTGAGTAAGCAAGAATGTTGAAGAAAATATGCTTAGTAATCCTACAAAAAGTAGGATCCTACAAAATCCTACAAAAAGTAGGATTACACAGCCATAAAATTCTGCTTAATATATCATAACATGATTTGGTATAATATTGCAATATTATCGGAAAGCCCAGCTGTATTTAAAAATATAGAAACGTTTTAACAACCTCTCTTAATGTTCAATTCTAATGGGTTGCTCTTAACAAATTTTTAAATCTAATGATTGTCCAACTTATATCGGTATCTGTATCCAGAGACAACTCGAGCAAGTATAACAAAAATGAACTTGCTAAAACTGGCACACTGCCATTATATATTCACTGCTCACCTATTTAACGGTAATACCTGTGTATAATATGAAGATTTGCAAAAGCACTGTCTTTGGTTTTAAAAATAGTATCCGACACTGAAATTTTCTGGGTATACATAAATCTTAGATTTAATAAAAGAAACGAATGTTTCTATGAGTAGATATAATTTTCATATGCATAATATTAAACGAATAGTAGATACCAGTGGCAGTCCGTTTCCTGATGGATGTATCTCACTTAGGCCCTTAGAGTCGGTCGATTGGAATATCACAATTTTCTCTAATGAATTTATGCAAATATGCATATGTTTTAGTCAAGAAATCGTATTATTATCTAAATAAAATATGTCAATGTCTTGAATGCTTATACTGGCAATATCAGACAGAATCCTGGTTATTACCGGACAGCGACGGACATATGGGTCGGAGAGAAAGCCGAACAGCATATTCAACGCAAAGCCGATGACAACCAGGCACAGAGGTAGGCCAAAAACAAGATAGGATGAGAACGTGTATGGTGATGCAAGAACGATTGGAGTACTGAACTGGAAGATGGAAGATGGAAAATAGGGACAGATGGAGGCAGATCGTGAGGGAGGCCAAGGTTCATACTGGACTGTAGTGTCAAATAAGAAGAAGAAGAAGATTAAGATATGGGATGTTAATATCATTTGAGACTGAATTTCTTTCTGGTACGTTCTTTCTTTCTGATACGTTACTATACTAAAATTTATACGTAAACGTGAATCCAACACAATCGATTATGTGCAGATAAAAATCTCTATCAACACGAAAGAATTAAAAAAACATATATCTAATGTACAGGTGTGTTGGGTGTTGATCAAAAATATAAGTCCAACACACGCGGATATGTACATATAAAACATATAGTAGAGAAATTAATATGTTTTATATTTAAAAACCCGGATGTACATACTCTTGATCAAGGAGTAAGTCCTTAGAGGTACTTAAACGTTTGGTCAAAAAAAAAAAATTTTTGTTGTATGTTATTCTCGGAAAGTCGTAAATAAATATATTCTAGTAAAATTTTCAGATAACTTAACATGACACCTAAAATTCAAAATATTGTAATATCACATTTTACAATAGTGAAATGGCTAAAAAATTTAAAGATTTTTCATTTAAGTCTCTTTCTATTACATAAGCACTTACCTAAAATGAATAATAAACGCTTTGGTACTCAAAATATAAATAAAATTATGGAATAAACAGTTAATTAATTAATTTTTTTTTTTAAATGTATTAACACAACGCTATAATTATTATTAATTGATATGGAAAATGTGGAGTGCACAGAACTTCAACTGAATTATTTTTATTTTTTGTACCACGAAAAAAATTTTTTTCGAAAAAATTATTATATTTCAAAAAAAAATTATAGTTTACAAAATTTATGGAATATTCATTTCAAAATGATATTGCCTCTTTTACTTAAAAATTTCTTATTGATTTTTTGGTTCTTCAAACCATTAAACAACAAAGCAAATTCATTTTATAAATGATTTCAACAAAAAAAATATTTATGCATTATAAATAAATGGTTTCTGATACATATTATTTGCATTCAATAAAATTAATTTTATTAAATACATTAATACGATTAAAAAACATTATACCGGGGAAGTACATCAAAAATCAACACTAGTACAAAAATGAAATATTCAAAAATATATTTTAAATATTCAAAAAACAATGGAATGCATTGACAAATAGTTAATAGTTCTTTTTATCTAATAAAGAAATATTTGTATTAAAGAAAATATCTGATATTCTGTTAAAAAACTTATCAAAAATTACAAAATTATAAAAATAGCACACTGTATATAAATTGCTCAATTACATTGTACTCATACCAAATAAGCCCTTTTACATCATTCACACAAGCAGACGACATCCAGGTCTACCCAAATATTACTCATATATATATATATATGATATATATTAGTATGAAAAAGTGATAAAATATAAAAGCACAGCAATAAATTGAAAAAACAAAATATTTTCCAACATCAAAAAATTTTCAATATTCAATAAAAAATGTTTTCAATATTAAAAAAGTATTTTTAATATTAAAAAAATATGTTAAGATATAAGCACTGCCTTATACAGTAACCACCGATCAGAAATATAAACAAAACACATATCTAAAGACAAAAAGGTTTAAAAGGAGTTTCGATTTATACATTTTTTTTTTTGAATAAATTATCAATAAATTATATATCATATCAAAAAACAAAATTATTTATATTATAACTATAATTGATAGTTATATTTTATTTTTTACAAAATGCAAATAGCTCGATTTTGTATTTAAATGTCTAAAAAGAACATCCCAAAAGACAAAGGACGAAATTATTATTATTATTTTTATCAAAATTCATATATAGTATTTTCACAAAATTAATCCCATTTTTCAATAGAATGTATATATTAATTTTGTGCATAGGTGAAGTCAGGCGACAATTATTTTTTTTTAATGATTATTAAACTTTACTATTTCATT